GTCAGTAGTTATGTGCTGTGTCCCTGCAGGTCTCTGAGGCTTACGTCCACACTGGTGAGGTTGCAGTGGAGATGCGCAGGGCTTGCCCTGCCACCCAGGCTGTCATCCATCGCTGCAGGCTGCTGGGGCTGAGGGGACTGAGGCACAGGGAAGGAAACCTTCGGTAGAAGGTCACTGTCTCAAGCGCTTTGCTCCTCAGCAAGCAAACTTGTTCTGCTAGTAAACTTCCCTGTCCAGGCAGACATCTGCTCTGGAGTGTGCCCAAATTTAACAGGCATCCAAGCCATAGCTAGGCGGTCATGAAGACACTGATTTGGCCTGCAGGGAACAGTTTTAGGCATTGCTGAAGCCTCAAACACAACACAGGAGGAGGAAGTGATCTGACCAGGGCACTGAGGCGGGATAGGATCAGTGTGGAATCAGGTCACCCCTCTCTCCGCAGTGACCTGTTCCTGGGCCAGTGCTTACTGAACATTGTGTGGACCCGACCCCCAGCTGTTCCTTGGGGTGGACATAATACCCTCCTCCAGCAAAAAGGAGAAGTTCTGTTTCATCAGTTACACCCCATTCCCACTTGTGGCCGTGCTCCCTTCACCACCTTCTTACTTGGCCTCAGCTCTTGCAAACCACCTGCCTGACTCATCGTAGCTCACTAGTCCTGAAGATAACTAACCCAGCAAAGGTAAAGTGGGCCTGCTGGTTTAGCACACTGAATTGGCTCCAAAAAGTACTAGAGTCAGTGCTGGTAAGAGAGGGGGTGACAAGCTAGCAGGCAACAGAGAGACTTCCCCATCTTGGTGGTAGCAAGCCACCACATCATTGACTTAAGCTCTTTAAGGGTAAGGCAGCTGCCTCGGGAAGCACAACCTGGTTTCCAGCCGTCCTCCAGTTTGTGCCAGATTCATTGTATCCTACTGAACTGTGCGTTGGAAAGGCTGGCTTCTCTAGTGTTGCTCGTTACAAAGGAGGAGACTCACGTGTGCTGGGCTGCAAAGAGTTTTAGGGCTGCAGGTGGCAAGGAGAGGCATATTCCTCCAGCTGTGATGAAGGTGCCCAAGTGTCTGAAAGGCGGCTGGGCTTGCAAGAAACTCGTCTTGTTGCAGATTCCCTCAGTCTTGCAGTTGCTGACACAATGATGCTGTGTCCCCAGCCAGCTTTCTGGTGAAGCACAAGGGAGGAAATAATGATCCCACAATGAGGATTTAGTTGGGGGCCTGGGAAGACGGGGAAACCGTGGCAGCCGGGACAGGGCAGCTGGCAGTGGTGTGGGACGTCACTGGCAGCATGAAGTAGCACAAGGTCAGGTAGCTTTTTTTTATTAAATGTGCACCACCCACCCCATGAGTAAGTAAGTCCAGAGTTTTGGGGAAAGAGCAAAAATGTGTACAAACCATTAAGACAGCAATAACACGTAGGAAGAGGGATGCTAAAACAAGATTGCTAAAACTAAGATTTTTTAAGACTTTGCATTTACTAATCTTTGAGTAGTTGCAGCCCATTTGTTGGGTTTTTTGGTGGTTGCTTTTTTTTTTTTTAAAGCGTACGTGCATTCTAGATGTGAATAATAAAATAAGGGAATGAAAACAAGTCAAAAATAGCTCAGAAATAAGAGTTCAGAAAAAATGTTTTGAAGCATTAAAAGAAGAGTCCCGAGAGACAGCAGTGAAAGAAAGAATTATTTGAATGAAATCAGGCTGTGGTAAAAAGACACATTTTAATGTACTACAGTCCCTTTCCATCTCCCTTCCCGGTAGACCTGATGAGCAGACTTGCCATATACTTCCAGGCTTATCCAAAAATATACTGGAGGCAGTGGAAGAGAAAAAGGAGAAGGATTTCTTAGAGAGAGAATTTTTTTTATCCCTCTGTGGAAAGGAAGCAGCTGCGATCAGATAACGTTGCTGAACTAACCTGCTTCTCACTGTGCTTATCGTGAGAGCAAGAAGGTTAATTCTGCAGTGAGGGCAGCAAAGTACTGTCAGTTAGTGAAGGGAGGAGGATGGGCAGACCAACAGACACCATTTCACATCTGATAGGGTCAGCCAGCAGCTGCAAAAAAATATCAGCAGTAGCCAAGCACAGGGAAAAAAAAGAAATACAGTATTTTAAGCTATTTTCTATAGAAAATATAAACACTAATGTTTATTAATAACATGGACCAAAGTAATGGTGCTACCAGGTGAGATGCAATGGATGAAATGTGTCCCAGACCATGCGTCAAGACCAACAAGACTCATAGCCAGCGACTAATACGCTCCCTAAAGCAAAGTTGGTTGACCTGGGACTTGGGGCTGGTCCTATCACTATCAGGAGGATGCTGGAGCAGTGGAAGAAATAGTATCAAACTCAAAATGTTTTGGAAGGAATTGACTGATGACTTAAATGTTCTTCCTTCTGTTTGGAAGGAAAACACGACTCCTGTGGTTTTCTTGGAACAGGCTGCAGAAAACAATCTGGAGTGCCAAGTGCCTCTGTCCTAAGGCTAGCCACCAGGCCAATATGGCTGGGAGATTTTGTAAAAACCTCATTAACAGAAAATAATCATTTTCTGGGTGTTGGGAACACTGTTCAGTGCTGCCATGTTCTTGACTGAATGTGTTGTTTTAGTGGATCATTAAAATCTTCATGGTGCTTCTTTGCAAAAGATGAAGTGTCATCTCCTGCAATCCCTAGCCAATTTCCAACTTATCTATTTGCCTACTAAGTTAGTAAGCTGATGCCAGGTCTCAGTATTTTGTCATAAGTCTTGTTATATTTGGTGGTTTTTTTCCTTGAAAATCTAGCTTTGGGAATCCTGTGATTATATAAGCATTTAATCTACACTATATTTAAAAACATTATTGTGTTGAAACTCTTGAAAACATGAAGCCTAATACAGGAAGAAGGAAAGAAACCAAGATCAATCTTTTTAACACGATTTTTTTGGTGTTATTTCTGAATATCCTTGAATGGCTATTACTGATACTATCTCTTACAGTTTAATGAATACAACACAGTTGTCTCAACAGTTACTGTGATGAGATGCAAAAGCAGAGGCGTCTCTCTGTACTTAATTTTAGGCAAAATGTACAATAATAATAAAAACATTAAAATACTTAAAAATAGTGATGCTTCGAGGCAGAGATTTTTTCCCCCTGTTTGGTTCAGATCAGTTAAACAACCACACATGCCCATGCCACTTTAGGTAGTTTTAGAAGCCACTGGGCTTAAAACTACTAGGCATAAACTCAGAGATCACACAGGGGAAACGGGGTCGCCCGAGGGGCCACCAAACATGCAGCGAGTTGCAGAACTATTTATCAAATCAGCTAGGATCTTCTTTGCTTACCCCAAAAAACACACACAAAGTTCTGCAGGCTCCGAAAACAACGCTGGCCGGCAGTAGGCTCAGCGATTGGGATTTCTCTGGCTCCAGCGAGCTCCTCGCCTGGCCCTGCCCCTTGTTCTTCAAGGTCAGGCTCAGAGTGGCTTTCTGTTGGATTGCACCCAAATTCCTGCCTCAACACACAGGCTTGCAAGACCATAGCCCAGCCCCATGCTGGGGAAGCGGTGAAACCCGCCAGCTCCATCCCGCTGTCCTGCCGCGGGCATCCCTCCGATCAGTGGTCCCCATTACGCTAAGGGGCTTGATGGAGTTTTAGACGGCGTGTGAAAGGGGCCCTGCTCACCGCTCCTCATCCCAGAGCTGTCTGGGGAACAGTCCTGCTGGCGACATTAATTAACATCTTTCAACAAAGTTTCGACACCAGGAGTCTACCATTGTCACCAGTGGTGATGACAGACATTTAACTGAATGACGTCATTGGCTCAGACTTGCTTACCCTTGGGGATGCTGCGCTGCCATGCCGGCAGAGAGCTCCCAGCACTGGTGTGCCAGCAGAGGCAAATCGAGCCCTAAGACAAGCCTTCAACTCCGTCGTGATGAAACAAGGGATGTTTTAAAGAGAACGACGTCACTGCTGATGGAGAGAACCCAGGAAAACACCGCAGTATCAGTTGCACGCACGACGGCTGTGTTTTTACATGGCAAGCAGCAGAAAGGGGTACTGCAGGCATGTCAATAAACATGGATACTCATGTGAAGGTACATTCTTCTGATAATGATGCGGTAGTCACAAGCTCAGCAGAAGAATGTGTCTTACTGCAACACCAGGGCAACACTGCCTTAGTCCTTAAGACAACCTGGGAGAGAAATAAAGATTGCTACTGGAAAAATACCAGTCACCTTTCACCACTGCCTTTGAAAAGAAGTGGTGTTACATTTTTACACAACTTTTTTTACTTTATGTCAAAAACTTCTGTCCCCTGAACTGAGAAAGTGACCTCTTCTGGGAAGATAGTGCACTCAGTTTAACCTTGAGCATTATATTTTTCTGTCAATCATTTCTTCTACCACCAGAGCAACGATTTTCTACAATAACCTTGCACTTGAATCAATCTATTCTCTGGGCTTCACCAGACAGCATTTTCTCTTGGCAGTTTCTTGAGTCATTGTGATATATTTGGTATCCAGAGGAGGTTTTGTGCTTTGTATTCCTTTGGCTCAGAGGCACCAAGTACCTGAAGCTCTGCGGAGCCCCAGCTCCCACGCCAGGCTTGTTACAAACCCACCAGCTGAACAAAACACCCTTTTCCATTACCAACAACAGCAGTGGACTGTAAATATTCATGAGTTATTGCCCTGGTTTTATAAATTATCTACAACACGGCTGTTTCATGTAGCCTTCCATATGTGCTCTTCACTTCTGTCCCTGCTAGCTGTATTCTGCAACAAGCTATCCAAAAACCTCAGGTGGTTTTAGTCAAGAGGCTGTCAATGCTGCTCATGAAAGAGCACATTGATTCTGAAGAATGGGCGTTTGCTCCAACACACGGTGTTAAGTCTGCTGACACCTGAAACATGGGGCTATAGGGAAAAACCACTGAAAAGCAGTGACAGAAAGGACAAACTAATTTTCATTCCCAGTTGCGTGGGAGTTAAGCTGAGACATGGGCCTCCTATGGGAGTGCTTCCATCCCAGGGGTCTGGAAGGTGCTGCTCCCTCCCCGGGAAGCCATGGCTCCTGCAGAGAGCAAGGGGTGCTTTGGCTGGAGCGACCGCATCACTTTTTCGTGCTGCTGCCGCTGCTGTTTCAACTGGAATGAGCAGAGAGGCCTGAGCGTTAGCTTGAGGGTGCTGAGGGATGGAGGGAGGCAGGGGAAAGGCTTTGGGTGCAGCTCCAAGTACTTCTTTTCACAAGGGGAAAGATGCATGGGGCAATCAGGGGCAGTCACCTGAAGCTGGGTCTGGGGAACCACTGAGGGACCAGCCCGTGCTGGTGCTGCTGCTGCGTTTTACGGCGAGTGATAAAGCCAGCCATGGGGTCTTGTCCCACCCCCACCATTGGCTGTGCCTGAAATAGCACTGACGGGCTCCGCATCTCATCGCAGGGAGTTGCCACACCACTGCACGGCTCCCTCGCCATCCACAGGCCTATGTGTATATATACACATATGTATCCAATATACGTATTTATATACAATTACAATGTATACAGTATATACAGTGTGTGTGTGTGTGTATATATATATTCATGTTTCAGCTGCAACCAGTCTGGAACCAATCCTTGGATCAGGGAGCCGAGGCCCGGCTCTCCCTCGCTCACCCTCCCCTCCTCCTGAACCCCTGCGGCGCTGCTGGCTGCACCCTGGCACAGCCTCAGCAGGAGGCGAGGCGCCCGTGGCGGCCTCCTGCGTGTCGTGGGGCTCTGCTCCGAGGGAAGAGAGAGGTTTGTGTCCGAGGACGGGCAAGGATTTTTCACCAGGCTTCATCTGGGGTGTTTCTGGCATTTGCGGGGAAAGGAGCTGAGAGAAGCTGAATTCACTGAGGGGAGCTTAAACCCGAATTAGGAAAAAACGGTGTAAGTTTAGGCACCGTTACAGTTATGATCCTGCTGAGCAAGGACTTTTAGTTTGTGAGTTTGTCTTTTGGTCCCCGAGTTCTTACTATAAGCTAAACCTGTCTATATGTGGAAGAAGAACTCCAAATTATTTTTTAAAGCTGCTCAGTTAAAATGCATTGCGGTTTTCCGTGGACTTGGGTGGGGGATGGTGGTGGGAAGAAGGGAGAGAAAAAAAACCCTGAACTAAGCCACCTTTGGTTGATTCTGATCCCTTTTCCACCAAGACAATCTCTCCATTTCCATCTGCTGTTACAGGCAACTGACGAACTGGCTTTATAGGTAGAGAAACGTTAAATGACATGCTACAGTGATTTAATTTTTTTTAATTCCCCTGCAAGAAAAGCCCGCACGAATTGCTGAAAGGTCTTCACCAGTTGCACTGGATGATGTGCAGCCTCAAAAAAAGAACTTCTGCTGGGATCCGGCAGGCTCTGCCACGCCACACGAAAGGCCGGGCGCCTGCTCCTGCCGAAACCCATCGCGCTCCGCGGCCGGCGGGACCAGACGG